CTATTTGCGCTCCAGCAAGGTTCCGTGTACACCTGCGGGTTGCCAGCACATGATGCTGTGACGCAACGTCACATTGACGATGCGGAATGCCATTGCGCTGCTGGGCAGCACCACGTGCCGATGACTAAGGGAGCCGCCGCTGGCTGTTTTTTTTAGCTTATGGGGAGAGAGGGGGAGGAGAGGGAGAGAGATGCTAACAGGACTGCTTGTGAAAATCAGATATTTGACATTCTGGCTCCTCATTGGGGATTCATATATCAGGCCTTAAAGCATTGCATGCATCCGGTTCACATGCTCAACGTACATCAATAAGACGGTGGATAAATATCCACTCTTACATATATTCGTTTCAAAAAAATATATGTAAAATATGAGGTTTATACATTTTATTATTTATTTTTCATCACCTAAAACTAATATGGTGGTCCCAGTGGTGAAAATTCCTTTTCCATCTGGTTCCTAGGGAGAGTTCCACTTGGCGGAATGGCATCAACATTTTAATTTGGACTATGTTTGGGGCTAAACATATAATTGCTGACTATGCATGTAAAGGTTAGGGTCTATGAGGATAAAAAACAAACACTCTGTATACATGTAACTGAGATTTGTTATTAATATAAAGTCTTCGATTATAGTACATTTTGAAATGCATAGAGAACACCCCTGAGGAAGATGGAGTCTTCAAAATGCATATCATGTTGAATATTCTGGAATATATATGCATTTCTGATTTTTGTGCCTTACTGTATATAGCCTTGTAGATGTGAAAAACAAAAGAGCATCATACTGTTTTTTAACACAATTTTTAATATAAAAGACTTGTATAAATAGAACATTTATATTTTATTTAAAAAAAAAAAAAAAAAAAAAAAAAAAAACTTTAGTTGTAGCCTTTAAAAGCCTCAACAATAGTATATATCTAGGCATGTTAGCTACTTATTTAGCAGTCCTTTTCAAGTCTATCATGTAAAAACAGAGAAATGAGAAATATTTCAAATGGAAAAACTCAAAAAGGTGAAGACGTGCTAATTTATAGGAAACATCAAGAAATGGTAATTGTGCCTAAGCAGTACCATAAGAAAAATCCTTTATCTTGATTTACTCATTTAAAAGTGCACTTCCTGGTATGTGTGTCCCTGGATACTCCTGTGCCTTTTAGCTGTATATTCACAGTGCGGTATCATCAAAAGCTAGCCATAGATGAACCAATCCAGGTCAGCAGGGACCAGCCGAATTTTGATCCATGTATGGCCATTCTCACTCTACAGAAGACAATTCGTCGATTGACTTCTGTCGAATGTGAATATTAGAAAATTTGTTGGTCAGCGACTGCAGTAGCTGATCAGTGTATTCTGCCAGCAGAGCAGCCCCACTGTCAGAATACAATGGCACAGTAGGAAGGATTCTTCCATCCACCTCACTTCTGTGGATGGGGAAATCTGCCAGTTTTTTTTATGGCCAGCCTAAGACACTGCTGCCTCTAGCTGCTAGTCTCATGCGATTTTGTATGAGATTTGGGGGTTGATTTACTAAAGGCAAATAGGCTGTTTATCTTGCAAGGAAGTTTGCCCTAGAGTTTAGTAAAAAGTGGCGTAGTTTCACTTTGCAAAACATATGTAATCATGTAAATATTATTTAAAAAAAAAAAAAAAAAAAAAACAACACATTTTGCTTGCACATGATTGGATCATGGAAGTCAGCAGATCTTCACCTCCTTCATTAAGCTCTAAGGATCTCCCTGCTTCTGCTTCATCCTCCTCTCCTGCTGCCACGTGATCAATAACCCACCTGTGAAGCTGATCGGGGGCAGCTCTGACATAAGGAAGCAAAATCCTCTTCTCTGCAAAGATGGCTGCGCCACACAGAGACAGAGATAGTACATAAAAAAGGCATGGTGTCAGTAAAAGGAAAATACTAACTGCAGGTAAGCCACTAGCAAAACTGGTGACTGGATTCCATTTTCCCTTTACTTGCCTTTCTTGGAAACAGCTTTCACAGTTCAGCGACACGTGTTATTTAATATACTGGGGCACAGTGCTCAAAAGTACAGTAAGACACTTCATTCAAAAACCCTAAATTCATTACATTCACATAGTTGCATTACATATTTATGCTTTTCTCATATTTACATAGCACCAAAGATTTTGCAGTACTATACAGAGTACATAGTTTATGTTCACATCTCTGCTGAATAGAAGCTTTCAATGCAATTTACCAGCCAGTACTGCTTACATACAAAATCAGCAAGACCTGTACTCTACGCCTTAAACTGGTTAATCTACAGCTGTTTTAGGCAACAGGAAGAATACAGATCATCTGAGAAAACTCATTTATTTACTAGTACAACATAAAAATTATATATATGGAAATGTAGCATGGGATGTTGGTGCTGAAAAAGAGAGATGGCCTTTAAGCCACTATGCAGAGTTAACTTTGAAAGATTAAACTGTCTTGTAAACACAAACTTTTCTTGAGGCACAGTTCTCTTTCAGGGCCGTTTTAGGGCCAGTTCACACCAGAAAGCATTGCTTGAAAGCCACATTCCATGCTTGTTTTGTGCACCACAGGTGAACACGATCCCTTGCGATCTGCATGTGGGTGCCAATACATTATTAATTGCACCTCAAATGCAGAGCACACGCAGTGCACTTGCAAGCACCAAATTACATGTACCACAGTAACATGCAGTTTGGTGCACTGCGCTTTTAAAAGTAGTGCAAGTAGTCCAACGCGTTTGCAGCCAAATCAAATGAATGGGCTGTCAAAGCACACTGCACAGAAACGTGTGTTCCCATGCAATCCTGATGTGAACCAACCCTTAATAAAAATACATATACAGTACATAGTAGAGTGCGGTCTTTTAAATAAAGATAACTGCGATCCTGTGGCATTGTAGATAGAATGTACAGTGGGGAAAATAATTATTTGATACCCTGCAGATTTTGTAAGTTTGCCCACTTACAAAGAAATGAAGGGTTTCTAATTTTTTTTATCATAGGTGTATTTTAAAAGATAGAGACAGAATATCAACCAAAAATCCAGAAAAAAAAAAACACGATACAAATGTTATAAATTGAGTTGCAGTTCAGTGAGTAAAATAAGTATTTGATCCTCTACCAACAATAATTCTGGCTCTGATAGACTGGGAATGTGCTCATGTGGTACACAGTAGTCTTGTCAATTTAAGAAGGTGCTCCTAACAACAACTTGTTATGTTTATAAAAGACACCTGTTCATAGAATCTCTCTCTTCTATTCAAACCTCACCAATATGGACAAGACCAAAGAACTGTCCAAGGACATCAGGGATAAGATTGTAGACCTGCACAGGGCTGGAATAGGCTACAAGACCATCAGCAAGAAGCTTGGTGAGAAGGAGACAGCTGCTGGAGAGATTATTCGCAAATGGAAAGAATACAACATAACCATCAATCACTCTTGGTCTGGAGCTCAGTGCAAGATTTCACCTTATGGGGCAAGGATGATAATGAGAAAAGTGAGGGAGCAGCCCAGAACTACACAGGAGGAGCTTGTGAATGATCTCAAGGCAGTTGGGACCACAGTCACCAAACAAACCGTTGATAACACAATACACCGCCATGGATTGAAATCCTACAGCGCCCAAAAGGCCCCCCTCCTCAAGAAGTCACATCTACAGGTCCATCTGAATTTTGCCAATGAACATCTAAATGATTCAGAGAAGGATTGGGAGAAAGTGCTGAGGTCAGATGAGACCAAAATTTAGCTCTTTGGCATTAACTCTACTCACCGTGCTTGGAGGAAAAAAAATGCTGACTATAACCCTAAGAACACCATCCCTGCAGTCAAGCATGGAGGTGGAAACATGCTTTGGGGCTGTTTCCCTGCTAAAGCTGCAGGCCAACTTTGCCACATTTAAGGGCCCAATGGACGGGGACATGTATTTTAAAATCTTGGATGATAACCTTGTTCCCTCAGCCAGAACTCTGAAGGTGGGTCGTGGATCGGTCTTCCAGCATGACAATGACTCAAAACATACCACCAAGGTAACAAAGGAGTGGCTCAAGAAGAAGCACATTAAGGTCATGGAGTGGCCTAGCCAGTCACCAGACATTGATCCTATAGACAATTTATGGAGGGAGCTGAAACTTTGAGTTGTCAAGCACCAGCCAAGAACCTTAAGGATTTAAAGAAAATCCAGAAAGAAGAGTTAACCCAAGTCCATGCTGAGATGTGTGCAAACCTGGTAACCAACTACATGAAACATCTTACCTCTGTGCTTGCCAACAAGGGTTTCTCCACCAAGTACGAAGTCATGTTTTGCTTGGGGATCAAATGCTTGTATACTGAACTGCAACTCCATTTATAACATTTGTATCATATGTTTTTTCTGGATTTTTGGTTGATAGTCTTTATCATTTAAAATACACCTATGATAAAAATTATAGACCCTTCATTTCTTTGTAAGTGGGCAAACTTACAAAATCTGCAGAGGATCAAATAATTATTTTACCCACTATAAAAAGTACTCCAAAACATTCTTACTGATCAAAGCCAGGGCAATTATTAGAACCAAAAAGACTCAAGGGGGTCCCATTGTAATCCTTGGGAATTGCTTCACAGTACTTGCAGCTACAGAGATCAGTAAGTATTAAAGCCTATTTACTAATGCATAATAAAAATATGCAAATATTTAAAAGGTTTAGTGTTACAGAAAAACAAACTAGCATTTTTATACTAAATCAGAGATGAACAATGTCAGGCTATATATTTGACAGATGACCGATTTTCTTTACTACAGTAATTGATATATTTTTAGAAACTGTTACAGTGTCCATGTTCCTTCTATAACCAACCTAATAACGAACATATCAACATATAATTTCTAATGCAGTACAATGTGTCCTGTAGTGATTCATTAAATACTGTAGATCTGCAATATCATAATGTGGCCTTGGACTCTAATATGTCACTGGTATAAACTCAGAAAGAAAGAAATCCTTGGACATGGCTGCATCTTCTTTAGGATTTAGACTTGTGATTGGCATAGTTTGGGAAACCAAACTGGGAGATCATTATATTGGAATATCTTAAGGGCATCTTCCCATATATGCCCACCAACTTGTTAAGACAATAGGACCTCTGCAGGAGGTGCTCAGGTCGATGCCACATCCCCGTATAACCACTTCCTGCATCTTTCTCTAGGTTTCTCATATCTATTGGTTTTACCAGTACACCAGAAGCTTTCTCTGTATAATTTGCTACCATGAAATTCATTGCAATATCATCACAGTTCTGTGTCTGGTCAATCATATTATGGATTGAGGTGGGTTGTTCTTGGAAGAGCTTTAGGTAATCTTTGTGAAAAAACGCAGCCCCAATAAGTATGAGGGAGTACATGTCACCAGGCCCTGAGTCCGCCTGTAGTTCAAAGCTGCCATAGCTATATATTCCAGAAGGCGATGTAACATGCTTCCTAGGCACAAAGCCAACAATTTGACTGGGAAATAGCTGGAAAAAGACAAAAGGAAACTACAATAAAAATAATTTTACAAAATCAAACTTGTTTCAAAGAAAATACAACTTGCAGAATGTAATCAAATCTGACTGTATTATATAACAGCAACAAACTACTGTGATCTTTTCATTTCCAGCTTTTCTTCTAAAACAGTTATCTTGCCTTTACAGAATCCAAGATAGACAATGTGAATCACTAACATTTCATTACACACAGGTGGTCATAACAATAAAAAAGATCTGAAGCAGTGTTATTTCAAGATTTGAAACAAATATTCAGTGAATATCATTCATTACTGCTATCCTGTTTAACCACTTCAATACTAGGCACTTTTACCCCCTTCCTGCCCAGGCCAATTTTCAGCTTTCAGCACGGTTGTTCTTTAGATGACAATTGTACGGTCATGCAACACTGTACCCATGACATTTTAAGCATTTTTTTCCTACACAAATAGAGCTTTCTTTTGCTGGTATTTAATCACCGAGGGCGGGAAGGTGTTAAGCACTTAAAGACTTTTATTATTTTTATTGTTACTAACAGTTTTCAATATCAGTTAAAGGGATTGTACAGTGCTATCTGTTTATCTATTCATGTGTAATCTGAGCGTCAGCTTTCAGCCTTGTCCTGCCAAGCAGCCAAGGTTAGCTTGGTAAAAATTTTTCCTCTTAAAAGTGACATTAAAGCTTCCTTTTTTTCAAATAAAATGAATTCAATTAAAATAACAAACACATCACACTTACCTGACACTACAACTGTTTTGCACAGAGCAGCCCCGATCCTCCTCTTCTTGGGTCCCCCGCCAGCACTCCAGGCTCCTCCTCTTTGGTGAGTGCCCCCACAGAAAAGCCACTTTCCATGGGGGCACCTGTGTGGGCTCACTCCCGATCGGCCCTGGCTGAATGCATTGACCCAGAGCAGACGACTCAGCCCTGCTCCCCCATTCACTCAGCACAGCATTTAATTGACAACAGCAGGAGCCAATCTGTCTAGGGAGGGGGAGACAGCGGCAAGAGATGCTGCCCTCGTGCACATTGCTGGATCACATCGGGCTCAAGTAAGAATAAAGAGGGGCTGGGGATTCTGCAGCACAGAAGGTTCTTTACCTTAATGCATAGAATGCATTAAAGTGAAAGGCTTTAGAACTACTTTAATGTACAGAGCTAAACAAAAAGTAAAAATATTTTGACATTTTAGCCATAAAAATGTGTAATATTACGTATGACTTTTTTTTTCAGGCAAATATTAAATGCTTTACTGAAAAACTTGTTTAGCTGAAACACCGATTACACAAGTAACTAGCTCCCCCACCTCCCTTTCTCTTGTTCTGTAGGGTTTTGTTTTTTTTTGTTTTTTTTTTTGTTTTTGCTTTTTTCTTTTTTTTTTTTTTTTTTTTACACACATTTAAATATAAATGAATAGTCTCAAAGGAAATGTTACTTTTGTGCTCTGACAAAATGCTTTAAATACCTGTATTATGAGTATAATGCTTTATAAACAGCAAATGGTGGCACCATGCGATTAGCACTACCTGCTGAGAAACAACAAGAAATTTTCCAAACCAGTTTCCTATTTTCAAGGTGATCTGCAACGGTTTTCTCTCTGCAGCAGCAGGATTGAAAACTAAACTCCGGGAAGTTCTACAATAATTTAAACTGCATAACATGCACTGTATATTTCAAACGCAAACATTTTAAACACCTGAATTTGCCTTGCTATGCTTTTTTTCAGTATAGCAAAGCACAGGGATAAGCAACACAAGGAGCCAAATCAGCAATGCTGCAGCACAAGAAGCAAGCAGACAGTAGAACAAGCTCATCCCATGGACTGCTTCTCTTTTCACTGTTCAGTTTTAGGATGGGAATGGGAAGGACACCGGGTAGGAGACTGAACAAGATCAGGTCCTCTACCCTGCTAGACAGGGTAATGCTGTGGGGAAGAGCTTGCAAACTCAGGACTGGATGGACAGTAATGCAAATCCTTTAGCAAGTAGCATAGATCACATATATATATTTAATTTGTGTATTTAGTAGATTACTTGGTGTTTAGCTTGAACTTGGTGTGATGAGCTTGTGTTTGGACACCATGGGAGTGTTTATTCTGAATAGAGTAAGGTAGGAGTAATAACCCCTGGGAGGATTGTTTTGGCCATCTGTGTCCCACTAGGGGAGATTTCTCTTCACTTTCTGTCCCATGGTCAAAACAGGAAGTGAAAGGAAATCCTTTGTTGTCACCAGGGTCACTACAACTAGTGTCCCCATTGGACGTTTTCCCCTCTATTCCTGTTCTGGTGACAACCCAATAATAACATAATAACGGTACACAGGACAAATAAAGAGGATGAATCTTCCCAACAGGGGCACAGACAGCAATAAAAACTAAATTACAGTTCATACAATTATACAGCATTTATGGAGCAAAATCAAACAAAAAGCACAGAATCCCTAATCACACACAAAAGGAAGGAAGGTAAATCCTTCATTTAAACTATAAGGTGCCCTTGAGCCTAAACGGAAAATCCATTTTGCTTCAAGTTTCAAAAGACATTTATCTAGGTTTTCTTTTCTAGAACCCAGATTATATTTGTCAATAATCCAAAAGTTTAAGAGGTCAGCCTTACCATCATGTTTTTGTATCATGTCTTGCTACTAGTCTATCCTTGTTTCGAGCAATATCGTTCACATGTTCAAGAACTCGTCTCCTAAAGGGGAGAATTTGACATCTAGAGATAAGGAAGCCCTTAAGTTTATTGGAATCATTACAAGCTGACAGTGGGGATGCTGAAATACGGGGTCCTTTTTCCACATTCAAACCAAGGAATAACTATACCCTGCCCTTCCCTCAGGGGAGCAGTATCCAACTGTTTATAAAATTGGTTGAGAGAGATTTGAATGATTAATGGTTAAGAAGGAAGAGAAAAAATAAGTCATATGACTTATTCTAAATGGAAGGCATTGGAATATCTGTGCAGTAATAAAGAAGTAGTTATAAAGGCAGTCGACAAAGGGGGAAATATAGTCTTGATGGACAGAGCATTTTATTTGAAAATGTGTTATGAGTTATTAAGCAATGAGAATAACCATGAAATACTTCAGCATGATCCAACCTATTCAAATACTTGAGTGAGTTGAACTCTATTTTGAAAAGGGCCGTTGAAGAGGGGATCCTCTCCAAACATGAAGGTGCCTTTATTATGAATTCACATCCAACTATTGTGACTTTTTATGCCTTACCTAAGGTAAACAAAGAAAAACCTCCTGGCCACCCTATTATCTCAGGCAATAACAGTCTTACAGAAGGAGCAAGCAAATATCTAGATGTCAGGTGTCCATTTGTATATAATTTACCTTCATATATTGAAGATACACAAGACTTTGTAAACAGACTAATAGATATCACAATGGAAGATGATGTGTGGTTAGCTAGTCTAGCTGTGGAGGCTTTATATAGTAATATCAATTATGACTTGAGTCTAAAAGCTTGTAAATCCTTTCTGGAAACTAGAGGCAAACTATTTAAGAACCATACTCTCCAACTTTTTCAGTTTGTATTGGAACACAATTTTTTCTTATTTGATGGTAAAGTTTATAGACAGAGCAGAGGAACTGCGATGGGTTTATTGTGCGCACCTACGTATGCAAATCTCTTTCTTCGGTGGTGGGATTGTACTATGGTCTTTGTAGAAGAACTAGAATGTTTTACGTCACACATTCTTATATGGGTAAGATTCATTGATGATGTGTTCATATCAGGGGCGGACTGACCATTCGAGCACTGCCCAAGGGCCTAGGGTCAGTAGGAGGCCCCATGAGATGCCCCTGGTACCTTTCATTGGCTTTTTTGCGTGTGGGCAAGAACACAGGGGCCCCATGATCCCCTATTGCCCGTGGGCCCCATGAGTTGTCAGTCCACCCCTGGTTCATATTATGGCAGGGTCGAAAAGGATCTGTTCGTGGAATTTGTAGCCACCTTAACTCAGAAAAACATTGGGATGTACTTCACGAGTGAAATTAAATATGATGGCATACATTTTTTGGACTTGGAGATTAAAAGGGGTGAAGGAGGCAATATTAATACAACAATCTATCGAAAACCGACCTCCACAAATAGCCTGTTACATTGGGGAAGTTTACATCGAGCCGCCTTTTAAAAAGAGGAATCTCCACTGGTCAATTTATGAGAGCAAAGAGAAATTGCTCAACAAAAGGGGCATTCCAAATGGAGAGTAAAAAACTGTTTGACAGTTTTATGAGTCATGGCCATCATAAGACTGATTTGATTAAATCCTATGAGAAAATGAAAGTTGCTCCGAGAGAAATCTCGGTTGGGTCAGAAAACCATAAAAGTAGATGACCAGCAAGGCATGCATATCATACGTACATACTCAAGTCAATAAGGGCAGATTATCAACATCATAAAGAGATATTGGAACATTTTGCATGAGGACAAATATCTATCACAGATCCTATCTAAATACCCAAAGATAACCTACAGACGGGGTAGGAATTTGAGAAACAAGTTAGTACATAGTCATCTAGAAAAAACTTCTAAAACATCAATGAAACACACCTGGCTACCTGAGAAACCAAAAAGGTAGTTAAGGTGTGGTCACTGTAAAGCATGTACTTTCTTGAGCAATACCAAGGAGTTTGTTAACCCTAAAAATGGGGGAGATAATTAAAATAAGAGATTTCTATAATTGCAGCATAGAGTGGGTGATTTATGCTTTAAAATGCCCATGCCCTCTAATATATTTAGAAAAAACAATTCGCCCCTTTAGGAGACAAGTTCTTCAACATGTGAACGATATTGCTCAAAACAAAAACAGACCAGTAGCAAGACATATGACACAAAAACATGATGGTAAGGTTGACCTCTTAAACTTTTGGATTATTGACAAATATAATCTGGGTCCTAGAAAAGGAGACCTAGATAAATGTCTTTTGAAACTTGAAGCAAAATGGATTTTCCGTTTAGGCTCAAGGGCACCTCATAG